ACACAAGGTTCAGTTTCATTAAGTCCCAGCCTGCTCCCTCCATGGCTTATAAAAAGCCCGTTGTGGAGACCAGATGAAGGTATCACTAGACGAGGACTCCGCTGCCAAGCCGTGAGTCCTCGGAGCCAGACTGCTGGAAGTGCATTCTGCTGGGGAAGGTGGTGGGTGGCACTCGGTCGCGGCGAGTTTCGAAACCGCAAAGTCCATCTCGCAGGAACCACCGGTCCCTGCTGAGCCATTTAGAGCTTCAACCTCAGCGCAGTGCAGAGAGTTCAGCCTGGTCGCCCTGCCTGCTCCTCTCCGTCTCTCTATTTAAAGCCAGACCGTTCCTTTATGCTCATTTATTTTACTTTATGCATGTAAATTGATTTGTTTGTGAGTTTTTCGTTGTTGTGCGGCATTAAAATCATCGCCTGCGGGCTGGTTTCCATCTCAAATCATCAGAACAACTTCTGCTCCGTGTGCCTGAAGTTTTTAAAATATGGTTTACACAATGATCATGGGAATAAATTTACTGCCAAAGTCTTGCTCTCATAAGTACACTGGGTTAGCATTAAGTACATGGTGAGGCATGAAAACAATCAGAATGACCAACAGCGGTGATAATTCCCAAATAAATTACACAAAACTACATGACAAGTCTCCTCCTAACTACGGTTTGTGGTCCGGAGATTAAAAATGTATTTATAGTTGCTTAGTTATATTTGGAAAACCATTTTAAACTTCCAGAACTCACTTCTACTTGGATGAAACTATCGACTATCGATGTTTTTGTGGTGCAATTTATTAATCCTGCTCAATCGGTGCTGAAAGTTTAACCAAATAACTTTTTATTTTGGTCATTTGTTTAACCAATTATTTCATATTTAAAGTATTTTGTGTGTTTTATTTTGTATTTTTGTGACCTGCAGCTACATGTGGTTCAGTCAACTAGTTGACTTCTTTAATATTTTTTTGTTGATGTGCTCAAATACACATTCTCACTCATCCATAATCAAACACATTTACAGATTCTTTCCAATGTCCCGATTAGAAACAACAAATTTCAGACTTTTATCATTAATAGTTCCTCAGATGTTGTCGTTCAAACAGCCTCAAATTTCAATATGTGGAAAAAAATTGCCAAAAGGGGCCATTTAAGAAACCAAATTTCTGCTAGTACTTGATATGTGGACGTAGTTAGCATCCTAAATAGCCACAGTTTATGATTTTAAAGGTTTAAAGTGATCAGAGATGGTCGAGCAGAAAGGAAGTGAAGATTTGAGATGGAATAACTCCTAAAAAAGTGGTTAAATTTAAAGTAAATCTTCTTTCTAATGGGCTTTGTTTCAAAAATAGGTCAATAAATACAATCAAAATGACTCACAGTGAGTGATATATGAACTCTCATTCCTTTAGATCGGGTCTTAATACCAACATGTCTGCAGCAACACTGTCGAACCATCAGGTGCATGAAGGCTCAGATGTGGGCTTTTTAACGCTATTATGCAGCTTTTCTGTGAGTCCACATGTCTGCAGACTCTCCGGAGGGACTCACGCAGACTTCAGAGCAAAAATTAATGTCAGAACGTAGACAAACTCAGCGCAGATCCTGCAGAGAAATCCTCGCAGGAAGTTTATCCGCGAGCGACAGCATCTGGCCGCTCGCTGTTTTGTGGTTATTTATTGCACATTTGCAGAGTTCGGATTTACATTTAGAGGGGATTCGCAGATGTTTGTGGTTTTCCTGAGTTTCTGGCAGCTTTGCTAAAATGCACAAACAGGTGATGTCACCGGGAGGGGAGGGACAAAAGCCGAGCAGCTGATCGGAGCGCAGAGAAAGTCTAAATTGTTTTCAGGCAACATGTGCTGACACGATGGTCGCTCGCATTCCTGTTTATGTTTTTTTATTTCATTTCTTTTTAACGCTCCAACGCTGCAGCTGTGAAGTCTGTCAGTGTTCAGAGCTCCGTCCTGGTGGAAAAGTTGTCATTTGTGGCAAGTAGCTTCTTGCTGTAGCTCCACAAAAGCGAGAATCTTCAATCAACACTAAAGGATGCATGTGGAAATGTCCTTTTTTTAAAAATTGAACAAGTGCAAAACATTTGTTTCATAAATTCTGACTCCAGGATTTTTAATTTTAATGCAAATACAAATTCAAATATCCCTTTTTGGCTTCCTTCGTTACTGATAATTGGTGTCAGCCCTGGAAAAGAAACAAAAAACTCATCAGTCGACCTCTAAAGTCAGTCAGTAGATCAACACAAACTTGTGGGAAATTGTAATTGCAGATGTTTGCTTAATATTAAGTTTAGATTAAACTTTATTACCAAAACAATGAAATGCAGTTTTACGTCTCACCAGAAGTGCAAAAGAAGCAGTAAAAGTTCATTATATGCATCATATGTACATAAAACAGCATAAACAGACGACAATATAAAGATTTTTAACAATGAAAATGAATTTCAAGTGAGACAAAGTGAGAGAAAATTAATCACTTGAGAATATTCAAATTTACATAATAAACAGTGTAAACAGGTTAAAATATGCAGAGGATAATAATAATAATAATAACACCATTTAAAAAGCTGTACGTTAGGATAATGTATTTATGGGTCATTATAGGTCAAATGATCAAAACAATTTAACTTGATATATAAAATACTTTCTGAGACATTAAAAAATCACACTGACCTGCTGTCATTTAAAAAATATAATTAAACTCACCCATTATCAGATATTATTTTATCTGCGTGTCCAGTATTTCAGATTCTCAATCGATGACATGATGATGACTGACAGTGAACATTTCAGACTTTCATGTTTAATAGTTTTTGAAATATTGTCGTTCAAACAGCCTCAAATTCAACATGTGGAGAGAAAAGAAACGCTAAAAGTGGAGCAATGTGCAGTTTAAAAGAAAATAAATATCTGAGACATATCCATCTAAGCATCCAGTTTAAACGCTGGTTTACTGAACAGAACGTGGCGGTAATTCAGAGAAAAAAGTCTCAATATTCCTGCAACCCAATAACTAATAGGAGAAAAATACAAAATAAATGAATCAGATATTCTTAATATTCCAAATCATTGCCTTTGATCAGAAATTACAGTGAAAATTATCTGTATATTGTTGTTCAAACACACCTTTAAACTTCAATATTCGAGGAGCAATTTCTATTTTTTCATTATACAAAAATACTTGATATATTCATCTTAAATTTGACAGATACTACTATAAATATATATTTTATGGCTAATTCATTTCAAGCACATCAGAGATGTTGGAGCAGGAGTGTCCTGATGATTTGACTTGAAATAACCCATTTAAATGTGGAGATAAAATCATTTTAATTTTAAAAAATCATCCATTTTCAACCAATTTTGTGAATGGCAACACCCCACATGCTTAAAACTGACAGCAAATTCTCAATAATGTCATTTTTCTGTGTCTGCTCCTGTAATGTAAGCTGACATCAGCCAGGAAACAGTTTGAGGACATCGTGTCTTCCTGCAGCAGCTATTAAATCAGTGTTTTCTACCTGGAACAAGGTGAACTCATGTGAAGACAGCAGCAGGAGGAGGAGGAGGAGGAGGATGAAGGAGGGAGGCACCATCACCATGATGATGATGATGGTGATGATGATGATGAAGGGAATAAATAAGGGCAGCAGAGGCTGAGTGGAGGCAGATGCACATGTGTTTGTGTGTACAGTGCGTGCTTTGCAGCGGAGGTCCTGTAGAGAGCGGTAGATAGTTTGAATAAGTGCTTCCTCAGCCTCTACTGTACTGTACATAAGCGGAGGGAGGAGCGAGCGTGTAGTATTTCTTTTTTGGTTCTTTCCCCCCCTGTCGTTGCAGCCCATCCAAACGCTACTGGAAAGGCAACAAAGGGGGAAACAAACTAGCCGTTTTTTTTTTTTGGAAACGCACGAAATCGCAACAAACACATCGCGGGGAAAAGGGAGCGCTGCAGGGACGGCGGAGGATACGTCTGACGGTACGACGCGCAGCAGCAGCAGCAGCGGCTTCGGCGGAGGGAAGCGCCGGGCTCGGAGTGCGAGGGGGACGGGGGGAGCCATCCAGCAGCAGCCGCCGCCGCCGCTACACTTGTGCACAAACCCGGAGGAGCCACGCTGACTTTTCTTCGTCTCCCGCCACCTCCACCTCCACAACCCCCCCCCACACAACCACCACCACCAAACCACAACGGATCTCCAGCCGGTTCCACGCGGCGTGTTGTGCGCGCGTCCGGGGGGTTGGTGACCGACGGTAAGTGTGCGCTATCGGGCTCCGGCAGCGTGGTTGCTTTGCAGGCGGCGCTAGGCTTCAGTAGCCCGGGCTGGCTGCGTTTTGACAGATCAACAGCCAAAAAAAAAAAAAGGTAGACACGGTGAACCGGGAGGAGAGCAGGCGGGCAAAGGGAGGCTCCAGACCCCCGGTGCAGCCGAGGACGAG